TAGCGACAGCCGATCAATACGCGCCTAACGACCGTCTCCCAGGGATAAGTGAGCATGCTGAATACGAATATATTATTGACAGGGCCAAGCGGAGCCGGGCTGTAGACGATAATACTGGGGGGAGGGGGTATCCGGCGGTCATAGACCCACCCCTGTCGCTCATCCCTGGTGATTACTATTGTTATCCGAAGAACTCACCTGAATGGTCCTCCTACGCCGCCCAGACCGGCGGTACTATACCCTCCAGTTCCTCCCATCCACTGATTCCCTCCGTGATGTGGAGCATTGTTTGGATCGAACTTGCCAATTTTTGGATCCAAAAGCTTTGACACATCGAAACTCCCATCTTCGTATTCTATCCGTAGATCGTTATCTTCGTTACCTTCAAAGCGTGACTTGATATAAGTTTGCATTTTAGGAAAGTCTACCTGCTACTAAGCGATTCCATTGCTTATACGATTTCCCCAGTGTTGTCTCAGTCAATTCAAAGGTACGCACTCCTCCACTTGCGTCTATGGTGAGCATCTTGTCACTGTTGTACTGAACCAACACGAATGGGGTTCGCGCAATAGTCGCCAACCAGGACCCAAAACGCAATCTTATGAGTCGATGATCAAACGCGTTACTTACCCATGATAGCTGTGATGCAGTGGACAAGGAACTGGGACATACTGCCTGAAGTTATTGACGGAATCTATCACTTCCAAAAATCCAGCAATGTTGTGCAGCTCTTCACCTGACGATAGAAGTTTGTACTGAGATAATATGTACTTTTGATTCTTCCTGTTTCCGTTGTTCTAGAAATGGATAATTATGTCCATTGAGATGTAGCCCTCTTGCATATCCTGACTTGCGGGTTTTAGAATAAAGTGCGTTTTCTTTTTCTGCATTTTTGGAGCAAAATAAAGAGGGCGTCTCAAGGTCTAGCGATATTCGTAAAATGGACTAGAACAGTGTTCCGTAATGTTCTGTACAAGATTTCAAATTAGTTCTGAGATAATCTTGAGTTCTGAATTATTCCTGACAAAAGTACGAATAACCTCTTTAGTACTGGTGCTAGAATTACTCTTCAAATGCAGTGTTTATAAACAGATCATGACATCAACGACAAAAACAAAAGCCACTTATTGTCTTTAGGTCACAATACAGACAGACTTGTTTGATAAGTAAGGGGCCTTTCCCCCAAGTAAGAAGAGCAGTGACATCAAGATGACATATCGTCGTTCATAATTCTATAGTAGAAAAGAAGCAAGGAAAAAGTAATCAGAAATAGATAAAATTTTACCTTCTTTTGCTGCTTCTTTAGGTACCTTCCACTTGGGCAAGGCTCTTACAATAACTCCGTCACGCAACGTCAGCATAATTTTCTGAGGGTCCATGAACCTGGCCGTTTCCTGATCCGATAGGTATTGCGGCCTACGGGCATCTACCACTTCTTTGGGGATTTGGCGGACAACTCCAAGTAGTTCTGACCTATCCTAATTTGAAAAATTGGTTGTAACTGTCATTAACAGAAACAGTACTATGCAGAAGTACCAGCGAAAATGGAAATCCTTTGGTTTTGAGGTAGTAGAAGTTCTCGGAAGAGAGATATAGTGTTCCTCCCTGTTCAGAAATGTTATCCAGATCAATGGGTATGGTACCAGAAACCCGGGTGTCTCGACATTCCCACTTGTTGCCATTTTTCGAGAGTAGACTAATCTTCCCACTCTAAACATAGGCAATAATACTTGCTGTCTTACGGTCTATACAGCGCCGTTGTGTGGCAGTTTCGTGGATGATATCAAATATTCCCCCGGGCAACTTCGAAAAATTGGCGTACAATGGAAATATGCACTCTGCGGTTACTACTGATCAAGCGTTGGGATACTGTATCAAATGTCGAACCGCAGTAACGGCGATGTTCGACATTCTCTTTAATACCTTTTCTAGCTTTCCGGACGTTAAAATTCTTTTTAGGAGGTGCAATGCATGAAATTAGCAGGAAATTAAGATGTCTTAAAGCTCCCATATTTGGTACAGTGTGAAAATTAGCGTGGGCCATGAGCAAAAGTGAGGCTGCAGGCTACATCAGATGCATTTTTCTTTATGAAAGGCTCTAGAATTGAAGAAGTTGGTCAAAAGATTTTTGCCAGTCTGTCACTATTGTGGACATACTCCAAAGGACTCAGCTCTGTGGAAACACTACTTAGAAGGATCTCCTATGTGACTCTATCCCCGATTGCAGTTGCGCAAAGAGCAAAGGCGCAGCGACGCAGCATTCCCGGAACATGGACAAATGACTGAAGAAACTTGCCTTTGATTTCGTGATGTACATATCATTCTCTAGGTGCAGCACGTTAACGAGTTCTTCTCCTAAGTTCAACAGAGTCACATTCCCATTGGGATCGAAACGAAAAATCTGAGTTCCATCATGTCCAAAAAGTACAGGGCATTCACCGCGTACAAGTCGATACTCGCCGCTATCAAACACTGAAAAATGATCATGGAAAGCCTCTTAGAGCGCAGTATTTCCCAGTGAGATGGCAAACACACATTTAGCAACGCTATCCAACGCCGAATATTCCAATTTCACATTTTGAAGCACATTTTTTCTTAGATCTACCAAACAGAGCGAATTTGTCTGGAACAGAGAGAAGAGACGACTGCATATCGTAGACAACTCTGATGCAAAAACACTCACCACCTCTTCGTGAACCAAAACTCTATGACTTCCGTAAGAAGAAAGTTTGATTCTTGGTTGGTATTTGATGAGATTTCTACGCGACTTGAACATAGCAGAAATATCTAGTTCGTGAACCTGTTATCTTCATTGTTATTGGACTGCACTATGAGTAAAAATGCAATTCTACCTGATCAGCTTCATCCAGGTTTTTGATAACATAAAGACGAGGAGGATTAACGGTAGCCACAACAAGTGTATCCCCTACCATAACTCCATCAGAGCATATGTTCACGTCAAGCATAGGGATTTGCCAAGCACATTCCTAGAATCATCGATAGAGATTCAACAGGTACTGTAGAAAAGTAGGGATTCTCCTCAGCGCGAAGCAAAAATTCGATGAGTTGTGAGATAAAGCAAGTGTATACAACTACATAATCCACCTGCTCTGTAAATTCCTTTGCTCGCATATGTTTTTTGAAAAGCTTCAGTGATCTTGATTTGACGACAGCTTCATCCTGAATGGTCTTCATATTGGGTGCCTCTAAACCATGAAAATAAAGTCTACACTCCAGCTAACCAGACCAAATCGTGCATTGAATGTAATCAGCTCCACTCTTTTATTTTTTGTAGTTTGGATTACAAAGAGTGCGACATATTAATGGCTTGATGAAATAACTATTTTCAAATTCAGGTGCGGACCAGAAAAGAAATTTTTTTTT